AGCCTTCAAAAAGGGGACAATTGATTTTCAAAGTTCTAGCCCCATAGACTTGCAGTGGGTTCAAGTTCGAATTTGAACTTTTTCCGTGTTCTAAAGTTCGAATTCGAACCAAGCACAGGGGTGTTCGGGCCAACAGTAGTGCTTACCCAATGTTCTTACCAGGGGCGGACTGACAACACATGGGGCCCCCGGGCAATACAAGATTATGGGGCCCCCTTGTGCTCCGCCCATATACAAGTCCCTCCCACACGCCCCACCTGCATAGACATTCTGGTGTCACAGAAATTTTTTCTCCACATTATTTTTCAAATAGTGGGCCAATTCACTAAGAGATGAATTGCCGGGGAACTGGTGGGAGAATTTCAAAATCTAGACCAATATAGGCAATTTGAAAGTGAGCTAAATGGCAGAATGCATGGCAGACCTCAGACCAGAACCAATACACGTCACACTTCAGACCAGAACCAATACATGGCAGAACTCGGGCCGGAAACCAATACACAGCAGATTGTACAGTTAGAATGTGTTGGAATGTACAACATTTTCATGTACGAAAGCTGCCGAACAGCTATCTTCAAATCTTGACTGAGATTGCATTGCTCATCAAAGAAACCAACTGTGTGTTGTTCATGCCTGTGGCATGGCAAGGAGATGATAAATGTGGCATTCCTTCATCTGGACAGGACATCAAGCTTTGCACCCTGTGGTGTTGATAGGGGTGTATGCGCATTGGGAAGACACCATCAAGATATCTGGATTTGCATATGAAGGTGACTGTCCATTGTCTAAAGATCAAAGGGCAAGGTGTTGACCTAGGCCCAGGAATGATCTGCAGTATGATGGTGCCCCCTGCTGGAGGACTACAGTGCATGTGGACAAATATGAAGGACGATGCCGATTGGCCGAAAGACATATGAGGGACAGGCGGAATTCTGGGTAGAGTGGGTGTCGATGTATGTGTATGAATGGGTATAAAAGTCCGTGCACAGCGATATTGCTCTCTCTCTTTGAGCCCAGCCAGGATATAGGAACCAGAGGACGAACTGTGTAAAGTATTCTCTTGATTGTCTTATTGTACTTTTGTATCTGTTTGTATCTTTTATTATGTTTAGTTAGACTGGTGTATAAATAAATAAGACCATTGCTTCTTTTAACCATTGTATCGTTATCATCATTGGAAGCAGAGAATAGCAAGTTAGCTTATTTCAGGAAGCCAAGGCAATTTAGATATTACAGAATGACACATACACTGCGACATCTCTGGGATCAGCCATCACACACAGTCTGATCCCTGTGGGATGCCATCCACAGGGGCGGACTGACCATTCGGGCAGTCTGGCACGGACCGAGGGCCCGCGCCCATCAGGGGGCCCGTCACCGACCGTCCCCTCGCCGCTGCCTCTCTGCCATCTGCGCCCGGTCAGCCCGCCCACATCAGATGCGGCTCTGTAATCGCCGGCTGCTCGCTCCTCAAGGGGGTTCTCGGCAGGCCCCCAGCGGGCGGCCCTCTACAATGCCTGATTAGCCGCCCGGATTGCCTCTTGCTCCATAGAGGCTTGTGTCATCTTGCAACGGCTCTAGCAGCAGTTTTGCTCTGAATTTTTGGTAAACCCATACCTGTGCAAAGCCACAGTTATTTATGCAGGTACACTTGGCTTTGAAGGTGCCCACACACCTTGCGATTATCGTACGCGATCGTACGATAATCGCAAGGTGTGCGGAAGCTGTGCGACCGTTTCTACTGTACGGTCGCACGACTTTTATCTTAGGAACATGTTAGAAAACCCCCAGAGAATCGAACGATTGTCGGCGAGTGTGTGGCATGCTTGTAAGATAAATGCTGCACGGGCCGGTGTGCGCAAGTGCATACTGCCCTTCAGCATTGCGGTCATCGGAAGCCCGCCCCTCAGCGGGGTGGGCTTGCGATTATCGCCAGTATGATCTGCCTGTCAAAGATGAGTAGATCGTACATTTTTTTAATTAACTTACAACCATCACAAGACTAAGGTCTTCCAATGGTTGTAAGGTGTGTGGCCAGCTTAAGACTATTTAGAGAAATGACATATAACACGTCTTGCATTATTAACTCCTAATTGGTTCAGAAGCTGCTTTATGCAGTGTGGTAGCATAGACCGAGTGACAGACCAAGTGTAAAGGTCGGATGCACATAAATTGTTCTAGCTTTTAAGCATCCACATATTTTGCAAAAGTTGTGCAACTAAAATCTCTGTTTTTAACACATATTGTTAGACAGTGTAATTTGTTTTGTTGCAGGATTACTGGTAAGTGTGCTGGGAAACTTCTGTGTTTTGTACTGTTGTAAGCCCTTCTATATGCACCTTGCTATCAAGCCTATTTAAAAAATTGTGTTGTTGCCATTCATTTTTAGGTTGGCTGTATTTGTTGTGGGGACACACAGGGGGGCGTTAGCGTGCATTTTGAAATGCTGGTCCTCCAGTGTGTCCCTGTGCCTTTAGGGGGAGTTGGGAAACCTCCAGGCAAACCTGCATTAAATGTATCTACTGCTAAATATGCTCCAATATGGAGGCGTATTACAAAGTAGAGTTAGGACCACACTACGCAGAGAAGCCTCAACGAGCCAGTGTGGCTTCCACATATTTTGCAAAAGTTGTGCTACTAAAACCTCTGTTTTTAACACATACTGTTAGACGGTGTAATTTGTTTTGTTGCAGAAAGAAAACACCCAAGACATTATGTAAGTTTCATGCTTTACAGGTTCAGACCTTGAAAAAGTGATATTTCCCCCGGAATTCTTTTTCTTGAAGCATTCAGTGGCAAGGTCTCCTTGCTATAGTTCTAGTTGTCTTCAGTGCCACCTTGAAGGTTTTGGTACTCCTGCCTCTGTTGTTTGCCAACTGTTTGTACTGGCCATACGGTAATATAACGTAAATATCCATTAAGGTGCCCATACACCTATCGATTATCATTCGGAAACCTTCCACGAATGGTCTTTGGAACGATAATCGATTAGTTGATGGGAAACCCAACAATTTTTTTACTGTACTCCTGGCCCGAATTTCCCCGATCGGTCAGGCTGGAAAACGTTTTTATGAATCTTATGAAAATCAATGGATTAGTGGCATTTTCATACGAAACAAAACGCAACTTGAACGCTGCACATGCGCAAACGAAAACCCATTCTGACGATTGACGAAATTTGATGAGTTAGTATCACTTATGAATGAGAATCAAAATCGACATTGGTCTGTGCATGATGGGGCGTTCGAGCAGAAATCGAACGGTGGTTCGATGAGGGCACGAAAGAAATCGAATGTTAATCGATATGTGTATTGCTACTAAAGCCTCCAAGAGGTATGAGACCTTTAGACGATTTAAATTTCCAGCACATACTGAACAGTCAAATATAACTTTTGGATGGACATACTCACAGTGCATAGGGTGCAGACAAAGGCAGCAATTAGATGTTGTGCCTGAAGTTCTCTTGCCCAGTCTCTGCAGAATAAAAAAATGAAACATTGCAATTGGCAGATATGCAAATGCTAAATAAACAATTCTACTTCATAGACTTCATGGGCTGCTTTATTTATTCCACATTTATACTGCCTGTCCACAAATCCCTGGATGGTTGGCAGTCCTGCTGCTGATCCAGTCATGCTGTAAGAATTTATACAACTGCACCCACTGCCTGGAATTTATGCATAAGCCATAAAACGTTAACTCTACGTTCTACTGTCTGAACACACCCTAGAAGGTTAACTGTTCAATGATCTTTTCACAAAAAGGTTTCTGCTTTTCATCCAGATATTGTTTTAGTGTATCAGCACACTTCCCTTCCAAAAATCAGCCTTGTCAATAAATTCATGTTCCGAGAACAGCATTTCCTTCTTCATTTAAATGTTAGAAGAGATATTCATAATTGTCTCTCTAGAGAGCTGGAGGCCAAATCATTTTCCTAATGATGTAATTATACATCTCCGTCTTATGTCTGTTCATTTCCTTGCACGACTTACAGCTGTCTTCTGGTGGTGTTTTTGTACCTTTAACAATTTAAAGGGGCTACCACCACTACACCCTTTAACCCTCCCAAAAGAGAGGAACCCACCATTTTCACTGAAATAACTTGAAAGTGACCAAAGTTTCAAGGTATTTCAGTCTGGCTTCGTCATTGTTCGTTCCATATTTTATATAAATCAGAAAAACGTTGCTTTCGGTTTTTGACTCAACAGATTATATAATAATAAAACAAATGAAAATTGCATGGACAAAAATGATGGAACCCTTAAACTAATATTTTGCTGCACAACCTTTAAAGGCAATCAGTGCAAGCAAGCAGTTCTGTAGCTCTCAATGAGACGTACGCACCTACCGACATGTAGTTTGACCCACTCTTCTTGTGCAAACTGCTGCAGCTGTCTTAGGTTTGAAGAGATCCTTTTCTAGACTGCATGTTTCAGCTCTTTTCATAGATATTTGATAAGATTTAGATTAGGGCTCATAGAAGGTCACTTCAGAATAGTCCAATGTTTTGTTCTTAGCCATTGTTGGTGTTTTTGAGCTGTGTGTTTTGGGTCATTATCCTGTTGGAGGGCCCATGACCTGCATCTGAGACAGATAAAAAATGACGTCTCCACCATCAGGCTCCCCTTAGGTATTTTTCACCCCCCCTCTCCACTCCCTATCATCAGCAATGAAGAGTGTTCATGTCTAAGTCAGGGTGTTGGGTCAATAACCAAGGCTCCCAAATATTTTGAAATTTAGCATGCTTGTCAGCCAGAATACATGTTAAGCGTTCGTTTAGCATTATGTTATCTAATATCTGGGTGAATTCCACGTAGGGAAAAAATTGTTTCTTCCAGTTCCTGGCTAAAGTTAATTTAGCCGCTATAAAGACCTGGTGTGTAAGGAAGCGTTGGAACTTAGACAAACCAGGTACCGTTGTATGCAGTAGTACCTGTTTTGGGTCTTTAATCAGATGTGTACCAAACATGCGTTCTAACAACTGATATATTTTTGTTCAGAAACGACAAGCAAATGGACAGGACCACCATATGTGCCACATGTCCCCAGGTGCAGCACAACCCCGAAAACATTTATCTGAGGAGTTGGGAAGCAGCCGTGCCAGACGGAGGGGGACTAGGTACCACCTCAACATAACCTTGTAGGCTAATTCCAAATTCGTAACATTGAGTGAGCACCTGGAGACAGTGCCCTGAACCTTTTTCCAGTCCTCATCCATCCATTGCAATTTAAGATCAATCTCCCACTTACTAGGATAAGAATGTAAGCTAATGTTTGCCAAAGTATTCAAACGGGAATATAAAATTGACACCAATCCAGGCCCACTAGGTGAATACAAACAAATGTGCTCAAAGCATGTGAGTGGATTTTGTACATTCCTCCTTCTCTTCAAGGTGGAAATCCAATGTTGTAGTTGTAAGAATCTATATAATTCCGATTCAGGTATATGTTTTTGTTCCCTAAGGTAGGTCCAACTAGGGATATTAGAGGACTGTAAAAAATCATATACTTTACTATATCCGTTATCATGCCACCAACTAAAAGCACTTGGGTCAGTATATCCTGGTAGAAATAAATGCTGAGAGAAGGGGAATAAGAGGTAGATAAGGATGACATGAAACCTGCAGAATATTTAAGAGAATCCCATACTCTCAGAGTATGTTTCATAAAAGGGATTAAAGTGGACGGCCTGTCTCGGGGAGGGAGCCAAGGAAGGGCTTGGATTGGAACAGGGAAGCACTCAGGGTATTTCTAACAAAATCCATAGAGGGCTATTAGTCGTGGAATGAACAGTGATGAGAGGTAAAAGCTGGGCTGCCTGATAGTAAAGTAGTACATTTGGAAGTCCTATTCCTCCATCTTTTTTATGTTTTTTTTTCCCTACAGAATGTTCCTCTGTAGGGATCGCAAAGCAAACGATGACCACTTCCTTTCACCCCACAAAGAGTCAAGAATTCCACCCTGAGGTTTGAAATGCTAGCCCACATCACCATTGGTGGGTCCTCCTCATCTGCCCATTGCATAAAAAGGTGTCAATATTTTACATAGATTAGAGAACGGGGGAAGAATAGATGTAGAGTTGTTTTGCTAAAACAACATTTCTTATCACTATACATGATCAGAGCAAATAAAGGTAGTTTTGTGAAAACTGTTGGTTGGCAAATAGAACCTTAAGTTTGAGAAAAACCTATCCTATTAGTAAGTTGACTTGTTTGTTGTAATGAGATGCTGAGGACTCTGGAGACAACAGGGAGTGCTGGGAAGTGGGTACAGAAACAGGAAAGCAGGAAAAAACAACTGCCATTCTTCTGACTGTGCTGTGCATTCTAAATGCTGTTTACTAACATATTACCATGAGTTAGCCAAAGGGTGTGGTAGTCTATACTGTGCTAAATTCCAACTGGCAGGTTGTCAACATGTGATTCATTTTTCAGGGGACCCATCAGTCAAGTGAGGAAAATATGTACAGTATCCAGTCCATATCTGAATATATTTTGTATTTATTTAAAGTAAACCTACAAAAAACCTGGGAACTTCAAACTGAGCATATGATAAAAAAAAATGCAACAACAGAGGATGCCCTAAACTGACCTGAAGATTCTGATATGTAGGCAGCTGCCTTAACTGGAAAAAACTAAAAAAGGCAAACAGAGGGCAAAGGAATAGTCAAACAATTCCTCCCCAGATAGTTACCTCCTCCTGTATCGCTTGCCCCTCCCTTTTAGATTGTAAGCCCTCAGTGGCAGGGACCTCCTTATCATCTTGTCTTAAATTGTATTGTGATTGTAATGTCTTCCTTATGTTGTAAAGCGCTGCTGTTGGCGCTATGTAAATCCTGTATAATAATAATAGTTACCAGTATAGCCTACAGTCTCACTGCAGTTGATATTTTCCCTTTACTGTCTTGCCCTGTCTTGATCTGCACTGTGTTGCTGTGCGGAAGAAGCCATCTTGATAAAAGCAGGGCTTTCATTTTTCCAAGTGAGAGTCTCCAGTGAGCAGCACAGTAGAGAAATCACCAAAATCTAAGACTAGCAAACAGTGCCTTAGATCTCACACTGTAGATATACAGTGGGGAAGTCAGAAATGGAGAAGGATTTGGGGGTCATTGTAGACCACAAACTGAAAGGTAGTTTGCAGTGCCAGGCTGCTGTAAACAAAGCTAGCAGGGTCTTGTCCTGTATTAAAAAGGGGATGTATTGCAGGGACAAGTCTATAATTTTGCCACTTTATAGATCATTGGTTCGACCTCATCTGGAGTACGCGGTCCAGTTCTGGTCACCAGTACTAAGAAAAGATGTCCTTGAGTTGGAAAAAGTCCAGCGAAGGGCAACCAAACTAATTAGGGGTATGGAGGACCAGAGCTACGAGACGAGGCTACTAAATTTAAACATGTTCACATTAGAGGTGAGGAGATTAAGGGGGGATATGATTTCAATGTACAAAATGTTTAATGGTGGTAGCAACATTAGCGATAAACTGTTTAAAATTAACTCCGTTACAAAAACTAGAGGCCATCACCTAAAATTGGTGGAAAAAAAATTCCAGCACAAGGGGCGAAGGGGGTTCTTCACAGTAAGATCAGTTAGGGTCTGGAACTCACTGCCACAGGCGGTGATTTCAGCAAATAATGTGGAATTGTTCAAGAAACTTTTGGACGATTTCTTAAGGGACCGTAATATACAGGGGTACGGGTACTCCTAGAATGAGATCCTAATAGGTTGGACTTGATGGACTAATGTCTTTATTCAACCTCAAATACTATGTAACTATGTAACATGTGCCATTTATATATATTTGCTCTTTTACATAGTTGCCAGCTGTACCAGGACAGTCCTACTTTTTAATTTTTTGTCCTTGCTCATCTGTGTCTCGGCTTGTGTCCCTGTGTGAAGTGTCAGAAGCGGCTGGGGAGAGGGGCTTGTATACTGGCAGAGTCAGGAGCCAATTCCATTCTGAACAGAGAGAGCTTGGGAGGCAGACAGAGTGAGATTTACATTTATATGCCAATTCAATTTACATTTATATAGATATGTGGCCTGATTTGCATATGCAATCGTGGCAGCCCTGCCCATCACTGTCACATAGGAAACAGTGAGGACCATGCTTTGGAGACCTGTCTGCCACCACTGCTACTGAGTGCCTCCAGGTACACCACTTTAGAGGTAAGTGGGGTGGGGAGATTGTTTCTGTTTGGAATGCAGAGGTTAGCAGAGAGAGGAAGGAGTCAGTGTATGTACAGTATCTCCATTACATTGATGGTCAGTGTATTTACCTCTGTTACATTGCTGGTCAATGTATATAACTCCGTTACATTGAAGGTCTGTGTGTATGCCTCCATTACATTTCTGGTTAATGTATATACCTTTGATACATTGCTGGTCAGTCTATATACCTCTGTTATATTGCTGGTCACTGCAAATACCTCCGTTACATTGGTGGTCAGTGTAAATACATCTGTTACATTGCTGGTCAGTGTAAATACCGCCGTTAGATTGCTAGTCAGAGTGGATACCTCCGTTACATTGCTGCTCAGTGTAAATCTTCTCATTACATTGTTGGTCAGTGTAAATATCTACGTTACATTGACGGTCAATGTGAATACCTCTGTTACATTGCTAGTCAGTGTAAATACAGCCACTACATTGGTGGTCAGTGTAGAATCCACCGTGTAAGGCCTCCTAACTAGATTACACAGAATTTATGACACCGAAAGAAATTTCAACCCATCAATAGCTACAACATGTGTCGCAGTACTCAGCAGAACATTCAGTGTCACATGATGTTTTCAAAAACATTTTTCAAAAACATTTTTCAATTTCCTAATGATTGCTGGCATCCTAGCAACCTAGCAGTTCTAACAAAAAATAAAATAAAAAACAACAACAGTGCAATGTCCCAGAATAGCTACATCAGCAATGTGCCTGGTAACACACATCAGCAGCTGTGCATTGTAGTGCAGCTGCCTGTTTGTATGCATATTGTATCTAAATGTCGGACCCCGATATGGACACAGACTGAGTGGCCATGCTGTCTGGACTGTGATTCAGACCTCTGCTCGATGAAAATTGTACTCATCTGACCTCCTTAAATTTTACTCTCCATCCCTGCTATAAACCATCAACATTTTGCACTTAAAGTATTTCTACAGGCAAAACTTTTTGGTCCCCAGGTCAAAAAGAGAGAGTGCATCCCCAGAGGTTGAGGCATTATGGGATTTGTAGTTTTACCACAGCTGGAGTACCAAGGTTATAATTATGGCTTCACTGCTCTCTACGTCACTGCCTTGTAGCAAGTACACGGCTCAGGAGTTCTGTCTTCAGTACTTTAGGCTACAGAACCCAGAGACAGCCAGGCAGCTAGCATATTCAGATAGAGATCAGAAGTAGCAGCCTAAATCTACAGGTATGAGGGAATGTGTTCACTTTCATTTTGCAAGCTAGATTTTTTTTTTTTTTCCTATAGCATAAAATGAAGCGTTTATGACAATATTCTTCTACAAGTGGTGCAGATGGACACAATTTCGCCCCAGAGAAAGATATCAGCCAGGGCCACTGAGCTGTACCCAGACTCCAGACTTAAGGGCCGGTTCACGCCATATCCAGTGCGATTTGGCACTGGATTGCGTAAAGCAAGCCTCCCACGTTGCGGGATCGCACCGCACCGGAACACAGGTATTGCTATGCTACGCATTCTGGTGCAGGCGATTGCACTGCGCTCCGGAGGCGTGTCTGCGGTGCCATTGACACAAATGGCACCACCATGCCTCCTCCCGCCCCAGAATGCGGGAGGCTTGCTTTATGTGATCCAGTATGTTCCAGCCACAAACCATGTCGGAACGCACTGGTTGTGAACCGACCTTGAAGCTGAACTCCAGGAATAACCATCTTACCCCACCTCCCCCCTAACTGATCAATGAGTTAGTTTAAAACAAAAATTCTAAAAGGCCAATATACTTGCTTAAATCCGTGATCGGAAGGTCCTTCTATGTGTGTCCACATATGTGTGTCACATTGTGACTAAGAGGGGGCCAGTTAGCACAGGCATGCACTGGAAACAATACAAATAAGGAATAAAGGGTATATGAGAGCAGCTACAATACTAATTTGTATGGGGCAGATTTTTGCCTTTTCTTGTACAACACTGTGGGCTAGTTTACACCAGCCACAGTGCGTTCTGGCCCCATCCGGTCAAAAAATATAGTGCTTGCAGGATTTTTTCTGACCAGACCGGAACGCAAGCATTGATGTGCCACGAGTTCCCATGCGTCCGATTGTACTGAAGCCGGAGGCCGTGGCTGCGGTGCCATGGAGTTCATGCCCCACAACAAAGTGAGCCGGCTGCAATGCAATCCAGTGCATTCCGGTCCCAATCGGGCCGGAACACACTCTGGTTGGTATGAACTAGCCCTGTATGGATTTTAGTCACATTGTGATGAGTCAGTTGATTGGGAGACACAGTCAACTATGCACATTTATATCAATACAACTGAAGTAAGGGAGAGCAGAGGGGAGAACCCCTGCTGAGAACAATGACTGACAGTCAGCACTCTTTGCAGGGAGGACACTGTGAAATGACCGATCAGGAGTTATATGATTGCTCAGCTCTTGGTATATAGAGTCTGTGGCATTGACGCATCGGGCAGCGCTCCGGGATAAGTACAGAGTGCTGTCCTCTTCGATTGCGTCACACCACTCCACCCCTTTCCAGTCAGTCTGCGGCTTAAAGCCGCATGATTTGAAAATGCTCGGCATCTTGTCAATTTCTTGGAAACACTGAGCATTTCTCATGCTAGACTGCTTAACTTCTCCCCAATGTTACCTTCTGGCTGCCACATCTCTCCTACCACGGCTTCATCTTGCCCAGCCTGATAACCAGCAAACTACTACCCTGCATCTACTCAAGCCTCACAATCTCTCAGTGCAGCCACCTCTGGAACTGTTGATGTCTCTCTTTCTCCACCCGCAGCATTCCTTGGAGGTATTTCATCCATCCAGGGCCGGATTTGCCATAAGGCCACCGAGGCCCGGCCTTGGGGGCAGCAGCGGTGTGTAATCTCACGACGTCCGGGACATGAAGTTCCGGGCACAGGGTGGGTCGTTGTTTTTATACATTTAGCCCTGCAAGCAGGGCTAAATGTACAGCAAGGAAGCCGCCACTTGTTTCTTTACAAGTGATCTCGGCAATGTCGCTGAGATCACTTGTAATAACACTACAGCTTGTCTGTCCTCCCCCCGTCGCCCCCCTGCACGTACCTCTCTCCTTCTGGCTCCATCCTCCCGTCTCCGTCTTCCCCCCGCCGCCGAGTATCTCTCCTCACTGGCAGCTTCAGGATGGAGAGCTGGGAGCAGAGCGGCAGGGTTAAAACTAACCCTGCCGCTCCATGAAAACAGTGAGAGGGGAGAGCAGTCTTCCCCCCTCACCTGTCACAGGAGTTTCAGCACAGTGACTTTGTTGTGAATCGGTATGAAGCAATATAGTAGCACATATTACACTGTGTTGTGATCCTGTATGAAGCACTGGATACTCAAAGACTGTGCTGTGAATCTGTATGGAGCAAAATAGTAGCACATAATACACTGTGTTGTGCTACTTACTAATGCTTCATACATTAATCATATATGAAGCATTGGATACTTATAAGGACTGTGCTGTGAATCTGCATGAAGCAATATAGAAGCACATATTACATTGAGTAGCGAACCAGTACCAAGGATTGTTATACAGATAGACTGTGCACTGTGCAGTGATTCCATATGATTTATTATGGACTGACTCCCATTACCCTGGACTTGTTTATGCGTGCTTTGAAGGGAACTTTACTATATTAAGAGCACCTGTCTGCAACATGGGGACCAACACTCTGCAGCTGAGATCCTAAACAGGTAACCTATATCTAGGGGTGCAACAACTAATCGACATAATCGATTATAATCGATTATTGAAAAAGTTGTCAACTTTTTCAATAATCGATTAATCGGCTTCCGATCAGTTGGCCCTGTTCACAGCTCCACACGCTGTGCGCCGCACCTCCTCCCCACCTCACGCTCGCCGCTGCCAGACCCGCTCGCATCCACGCTCCACACACCGCACCTCCTC